TTTACTTAATTCATTTTCTGGTGCTTTCACTAGTCGTAAGCGCTGTGTAACTGCCTCGAGGGTGCTTGATCATTTTAACACAACGTGGTGCGATCATCCCCCTTGCGCGGAGTGAGGGTTCTCCACCCCGCACAACATGATCTGCTCGACCACCATTATGGTTACCGCCCAAAAAAAAAACAGAAGTAAAAAAACAAACGGTAACCTGGTTGCCGAGTTCACGAAGTGAATTGGCTTGTTTTACCACGTCGTTGCCCAGCGACGAAAACCCAATCCCGATGGCAAACACCGGGGGGGGGCGGCTTGTTTTATTTACAACGTCGTTGCCAAGCGACGAAAACCCAACCCCGATGGCAAACACCGGGCGGGGCGAGGGGGGGCAGTGTAAACGGAAGGTTGCTACGTCAATCCAGTCAAATGGTTGCAAGCGTTGTGATTAGATGTTCTTTCGGTGTTCTATTCAGATGTCCCACCACTGCTGCAGGTTTAGCCTCGATGTATTGTCACAGTACGTTGTCCATCCCTGCGGCTGAGGGTAGCGGCGGCATCGGTGCACACGCTGCATTCCTCTCGCAAATCCTCTTCCTTGCTACCTCGCACATTCATGTATAGGTGATTTCTCAGGACTCGGTAGTAGCCAAGGGCTTCGACAACCTCCAGAAGGCGGTCGACCACGCCGGGTCTCTGGGGGACGACAACTCCTACCGCATCGCTAACCCGACGGGCCTGGGCGGTGCTTCGGTGGCGGGACAGGGGGTACCGGCCATCGACCTCGACCAATTATTGAGCAAGAGCATGACGCAGAAAATCGAGGTCAACTGGGGAGAGATGTCCAGGTACCGTGTATGTTGGGTCCCCTTGTCGCAAGCTTGGTTTGCTGATGGCTCTGATTTCATGCCGGTGGGCCGGAGCTGCTGCAGGAAACGACTGCTTCGTCGTTTGTTCTTGCGTGTTTTGCCATCCATGAAGAGCATTCGTAAAAGGAGGGAGGCGAGCAGGGGCAGAACAGAAGGGCTCAGCAAATGGGAAGGAATAGTCGCGAGCTATTTACTGTTCCTCGCACCCTATCCCAGCTTCTATCTTGTGTCATCCGCCATCCAACTGCCGCAAGCGGCGAGGAACTCAACGCATCCAGTACGCACAGAGTCACGCCGTCTTTTGGTCGCCGCTGCCGCCCAAACTCTGCACGATACCCCCCCCCCCCCCCCCCCCCCC